GCAAAAATATCATGCTGACTTCTTTGAATCTTGGTAATAATAATCTTGGATCAGAAGAGGAAGAGCATTAGCATATGCACTTTGTAAGAACACCACGTTGACCTCTTTGAATCTCTGGCATAATAATATTGGATCAGAAGGAGGAGAAGTATTAGCGAGTGCACTTTTCAAGAACACTACTCTGACTTCTTTGGATCTTAGCAGTAATAATCTTGGTCCAAATGGAGGAAAAGCGTTAGCAGATGCACTTTGTAATAACACCACGTTGAAAGATTTGAATCTTTACAGTAATAAACTCGGATCATTTGGAGTAAAAGCGTTAGCACATGCACTTTGCCAAAACACCATGCTTGCTTCCTTGGATCTTGGTAACAATGATTTTGGGTCAGAAGGTGGAAAAGCAATTAGCAAATGCACTTTGCAAAAACACTACGCTGAAAGATTTAAATCTTGGTGAAAATGAATGGAGTTTTATTAGTAATAAACTTGGACCAGAAGGAGCAAAAGCATTGGCAGACGCACTTTGCAAAAATGCAACACTGACTTCTTTGAGTATTCAAAATCATAAACTTGGATCAGAAGGAGGAAAAGCATTAGCAGATGCACTTTGCAAAAATGCCACGTTGACTTCTTTGAATCTTGAAGGTAATGTAATTGGATTAGAAGGAGGAAAAGCATTAGCAAATGCACTTTGCAAGAATACCGCGTTGAATTCTTTAGATCTTTCTTGTAACAATCTTGGATCAGAAATAGCAAAAACATTAGCGCATGCACTTTGTATGAACAATACCCTGAAAATTTTGGATATTCGTTATAACGATATTCATACTACTATAAAGTCTAATAATCCAAGCATTAAAATATATCAATAAATCATTCTCTATACTATAGCAAAATCTTAGCATGCATTATGTCTTTGCATGGATTTCGAACTCAACAATAACGTAAGGTTCTACATATTACTTTAAACTTCTGCACACTTTGCACTCTATAGTTTTTATAGGTTTTTAAAACACAAAAAATAATACATATGCTTGTATTGTGGATTACAATGTTATGTATTTTCAAAAGCTTGTTAATGATAACATTCGTGTTCTTTCTCAATTTATGTCAACTATTAATTGATTTGTCATTTGTAAATTTAAAAATAATGCACGTAACTTTGCAATTTTCCCAAGTTTATGCACACGCGTAGGTAGATTTATGCAATACATTTATAATTCATTTTTCTTAAAAAATCTCTCCTAGAAATAAAATAAAACGAAAAGATCAAAAATGTGAAAAAAAGTAAATTCTAAAGCTTAAAAGCAAGGTGTTATGAGGTTAGATGACCACGATCTGTCAGCTCTTTGTCATTTTTCAATAATTGCTTTGAAAATTAGGGTTTTGCAAATTCCCATTGTTATCATATTAGACATTAATGCCTCATGCCATGCCTGTGCTTATGGTAACAAAAATACTAAGGTGTCGATTAAGAATCAACAAATTTTGTAATCCAAAATTTTTTCTTAACCTCAAGATAGCAATTATCTGTAGACGTCATGTTACGTTATTTATTGTTACTATTTTATTAAATGACTAGAAAATGTTATGTAGGCGGCTTTGCCGCCTGTAACAAATGTTTGAAGATAGTAGATTTATCATATCAAGAGATTATTGTAATGAATTAAACTGTTTAAAGGTGATGTAATTTTAGGACATTATTATACTTTTTTTAAGAACATATTGCTTTTTATAATATGCCGTTATAAAATTTGAAATGTTGAGTTCATTATATTTAGAGATTGTTATACAGAGTTTTGTTACGCGGAGCGACTGTATATGAAGTTTATCAAATAGGTCTTAAGTTTGTTAGACATTTTTTAAAAATGGGTTAAGGCACCGACTTTTTCAAAGAAAAAGTTTAGTAAATAATGTATAGATAATTAATGAATATATTGTTAAGAATTGTTTTGGCTGATGTTGAGATCTAAAATTGGTCTTGTTTGACATGAAATTTGGGGTGCATATTTTTAACTTTTTGGAAAGTTATCTATAGTTCTTGTTAATAAAAAGTATACGTAGATATTAGTACAGTAGTAGGTTTGGTAAAAAGCCAGGGTATAAATTTTAGCATCAATGGTCTTAACATGAGTCGCGATAAGAATTTTTAAAAACAATTTATCGTATTATTTATTGTTAATATTAATCGTAATAGATTGATTTTTTGTACATTTTACTTGTGTTAATCAGTGAGCATAAAAATTAAATTTGTAATAAATTCATTAAATTTAAGAATCAAATAAATAAAGTGAAATGAATAAGATATAATGAAAATGACAAACTGATTGCATGTAATGAATATAACGCGAGTGAAGCATGATGTCAGACATAATAGTTCAAAGATGAATAAGTTGAAATAAAGTTATTGACGATTGCATTAAATGGTTTAACAACCTCATAGGAAGAAATTCGTTTGATTGGCTAGCTTCGTAGATCAATTTGCAGTTCTACATGTGATTATTAGCCAATCAAATCACACAATTTGCGATTCGTTATTTTATAATATTACTAGAAATGAAAACTTCAAGAAAAATTCATATAAATCGGTAAATACGCATTATTTATTGGATTATGTACGTATAAAAGATAGATAGACGCATATAGAGTAGAGCAAAAGTGGTGCTCACTACTAAAACAAAGCTCGAATCACTAATCCTACTATCTATAAAACCCAGGTTGATATCTATGGTTAATAAACCGTACGCTTTAACAAACCAAGTCAACTTAAGAATATCTTAAATATTAATATATATCTCCCACGCGAACAAGCTGTCTTGTTTCAAACATCTAACTTGAAATCTCAAGATTTAAAAAAAGAGACAGCTGTTTTGTTAATAACTACTTTTGTTTTTGTACATTTTAAAATGTAGACGTAGCTTTTTTTTTTATTTACTTCAGAAAGTCGTGTGTAAGCCAACCCACTTAAATTAGAGATTATTGAAATTATTTATGTTTGTTTTTTTAAAAATAAAAATAACAATAATAATAACAACCTTCTTATTAGATTCGGGTTAGATACTGCTATATTCCCAGCAGTTAGTTGAGAATGTGATTAATGGATGCAAAGTGTGTGTTACTCGACGTATTTCTAAGAGCTCCACCAATGCACTCTATTGATTCCGAAGGTTTTCTAAATCACGTTCAATAAAAAAAATTTATGTAGATAAACAAAATTTAAATTGCATCAGTTCGGTACTATCTGCTCTTTTAAATTTTAAAAGAAACTGTGAAATTATTAAAAACTAAATGGAAGAAAAGTATAAAACAAACCGAAATCGAACATATGAACCTGGTGATTTAGTAAAAATTCGCATTTCCACCAATGATAAATTAAAGATAGATCAAAGATCTCTACCGCACAAAGTCTTTCAAAAGAAACCTAACCGTGATTCTTTCTAAGTCTCCTGCAAATTTGGGATCCTCGACAATTGAACCGCTGGGTACCCCTGATCATCCTGATCTCAATACTTTCGTTAAGAGAAGCAGGTGTCATACAAAGCCTTACACGTTCAACTCGTAGCAATAAAAGATCGCTAATAATAATCACAAATATCCAACCTATAATTTTCAAGATTGCCAAGCTCATAGTATTAATGAGTACCGCCAAATATGTTCCTTGAGTAAATAATAAAAAAAAACAACAATAATAATATTATTATTATAATTATAATAATTCTTATTATTAATTATATAATTTTTGTAGCATTAGTGCTACGAATAATAACATTGGTTCAAGACACTCAACAATAATCCTGTCATTGCCGAAAAACAATTTGCGACACCAATTCATGTTCTTGCAAAAAAAGGTATTCGTTATGCTCAAAAAATGAGTATGTGTTCTACGCGAGAAATGCAAAGATTTTTAATTGCATGGTTAAATTATATATAAATATTTGAATGTATTTGTTTAGTGCATGAAAATTTAGCAAGCAATTAACATTAAGTGAGCATCTAATCATTTTTATTCGCTTTTTATTTCTTAAATTTAATTAATTTTTCGTTTAATGTATGAAAATTTAGCTAGCAATTAACGTCAAGAGAGCATATAATTTATTTTTATGTGCTTTTTATTTCTTAAATTTATTTTATTTTAATTAATGTTTATTTTTTTTCAATCTTTTTTTTCGCATTTTTTTAATCGGTGATTGGATACCGATTCTAAAACGACCTACTTCATTTCACGATTCACGACCAATTCCGGATCAACCTAAATTCCGTAACGATGTGGAACAGACACACAATCTTCTGCAGCGAAAAATATTGAATCAAACTTCACAATTGCAAGAATACGCAATAGATGAAATAAATCACATTTTATTGCTAATAAACAAATAACTGTTGAACACGAAATAAAGTCATTTAAAGCTTTTTAGTAAACAATACGAACTTTCTGCATAATTCTTTTGTTTTTTTTGATAAAAGAATTTTCTTCAAAAATATTAAAACCCGATTATGTAATTGACTTTTTTTCAATTTTTCAATTTTTCCATAAATTTTCCGGTGTCTCCCGAAAAATACCGAATTTATCCGATAGGACTGATAGAAAATATCCGCCCGCAGAGATTCCATGTTATGCAAAACGTACAATAAATTTTTCGTGGCCTAATTCTATGCTATCCTAAACATTTTATTTAATCTCTGTATTAATACAAAATATCTAAATTTGTGTACGAAACCTTTATTTAATTAGTTTCTATAGCAAATTACTTACAATCTGTTTGGGTAGTAATCAAAGGTCCATCAAAATTTGCTCCATAATTGTTATTCATCACCCTTAAAGCAACTTATACAAATACACAAGTCTCATTGGGGTGTCACATCGACTATTTGATCAAAACTATGTCAGTTAACTATGTAATTTATCATATTGCAGATTTTTTACGTACACAAATGCAAATCAATTTTAATTTATTACTACGTATACAATAAAGCTATTGCTATTACATTATACAATAAGACTATTTACGACCAAATAAATCTTCAAACAATTTATTAGCACTTTCTTCACGATTATCATCGCTATTATTAAGATTTTCTTTAATTGAAATTGAATCATTTGTAAGTTCAGTTTGCTGTTGGCGTTTTTTAATTCTAAGCTCTGTTAAATCCGAAGAATTACAACTAATTTCAGTAAGTGGCAAACTTGCAAGCTGTAATTTTGATTGTTGAAGGCTACTTGTCATATTTGGATGGGTTTTAAGATCCCACTTATTGAACAAGCCTTCAACTTGTTGCTGGTGTACCAAAATATACCAGATTCGATTTTTTACGAATTCATATATCTTTGGAAAATGAGTTAAAGGTTTTCGTTCTTGTATAAATTGGTGAAATTCACAACCAAATTCAGCATCAAGTAATGCAGCTGATAGCCCGAAATTATTAAATTCAGCAGATTCCATATCTAATTTAATAAACTTTGCATAACACAATTCTCGCAATGATGGTACCGAGGACCAAGGTGTTCCTAAAATAATATGCGCAAAGCTTTGTGCAAATTCTCATCCAAATTTTCCACCTAATCGACAAACACTAAGAGGCAAATATAGCCAGCAATTTGACTATTTTTGGTAAAGTTCTAATGCCTTTTGTATGCCACATTCCAAATCTGATATAAGCTTGGCAAGCTGATTATCATTTAATGAATTAAGATATTCAAGTAACTCTTCCCTAAAAAATAAATAGAGATCTTTAGTAATATTTCTAAGTTTTGTGATGGTGCAAATTACAAAGTCAGGCATCTGGTGTGCACAACAACCGGAAGGAAGATTTATTGGTAATTCAAAGTCATAGCCTATAAGAAATTTAGATACTGGGTAATAAAAATTTTTTCTGAAACAGACTAGTAATTTAACTTGTGTATTTAAAATTAAATTATGAAGCCAGCTTTAAAATAACTTCCATTTTTTTATATATGATTTTGGAGTATTGTTTCTGGTTTTAAGATGAGATAGAAACCATTCTGTGAATTTTATATGAGCATTCCTTCACTCTAAGTATTGCTCTGCATATTTTAACTCATAGAGCTACCTTGATCTAATAGGTTGCTGATATTTTGTTAACTGATAATTGAAGCACTCTTTATAAAGTTTATAAATATAATCAGATCACATTCCCATCAGCTTATCTTTATCACTCTTGTCATAACTATTATAAAGATCTCAAACTAAATATAAAAGATTTGCTAGAAGTTCTTTCTGTGAGAACCCTGTACTATTTAGTTTCCAAATGCAGCCTCTTCAAAATTATTCATTACAATATGTGCAACGTGAAATGCACATGGAATTCGAAACAGGTTTGCATTATTTAACTGGTTAAATAATGAAATGGCACCTTCAGCTTTGCCACTCATATAATTAGTATTATCTGAGGTACATATAAAACATTGCTGTGTATTTAATTTAAATTGACTAAATGTATCAAATATTGCTTATGCAACTGATTTTCCTGTACAAGAATTTAAATCTTTCATTGCCAATACTTGAAAATCTGCCTTATTATCTTTGGAGTTCCAGAACATTACACACAACACAAATATTTTATGTTGAACTCAGGTCGATTCGTCTGTTGCTATTCCAAAAGTGAAATATTCTGAACTGCTTTGATTAAATATCTTAGTCACATGAATTTTACTAATTTCCTTATTCCATCTAATTACAGATTGAGCCGAAATCAATAATGATGAATTCTCTCCAATTAAAAATCTAAAAATGAATATACAACTTGGATAGTACTTCGAAATAATATTTGATTAATTTGTGATACTTGTGTAGCTAAGTTTATAAAACAGGTTGTATATTGACACTTATTTTTTATGAGAATCGCTTGAATGCCAGCCTTCAAACTTTGAAAATCTGCAGGTAGTGATTTCTGAGCTGCGGCACGTACTTTTGATATATGATGTCGTTGTTTGAGTTCATATTGTGACAATGTTCCTATTAATTGTCTAAATTTATGACTCTTTTTGACTTTT